GTGGGGGTTAGGAAGTGGGAGGGTGTAACACAAGACCCCTCCAAATGCTCTTGTGGCCTTAGAACTCCTCCGATTAGTACGTTTGGCTACATACGGTGCGAAAAAAGTTCAACACACACGTACACACGTGTACAGGTGTGCACGGAGCCTGCTAAGGATTTCATGGCAGTATATAGGGTAAACAACTTGTAGGTTGGAAATAGGAGGTAGTGATGGGTCGGACACGTGGTGTGCAGGGTGGAGGAGGTAGTGATGGTGGGACACGTGGTGTGCAGGGTGGAGGAGGTAGTGATGGGAGGGACACGTGGTGTGCAGGTGGAGGAGGTAGTGATGGGTGGGACACGTGGTGAGCAGGGCGGAGGAGGTAGTGATGAGTGGGACACGTGGTGTGCAGGGCGGAGGAGGAGGTAGTGATGGGAGGGACACGTGGTGTGCAGGGCGGAGGAGGAGGTAGTGATGGGTGGGACACGTGGTGTGCAGGGTGGAGGAGGAGGTAGTGATGGGTGGGACACGTGGTGTGCAGGGTGGAGGAGGAGGTAGTGATGGGTGGGACACGTGGTGTGCAGGGTGGAGGAGGAGGTAGTGATGGTGGGACACGTGGTGTGCAGGGTGGAGGAGGAGGTAGTGATGGGTGGGACACGTGGTGTGCAGGGCGGAGGAGGAGGTAGTGATGGGTGGGACACGTGGTGTGCAGGGCGGAGGAGGAGGTAGTGATGGGTGGGACGCGTGGTGTGCAGGGTGTCACGCGTGCCACTGCGGCTTCACCCCAACCTTGCGGCGCGCCCGGCCCCGCTGCGTGTCCGCCGGTGATGTCGCGGCAATCCCAACGCCGCCACGGCGTTCGGGGCCTTTCTCTTTGTCGGCTTGAGATTTTGGGGTTTTTTTCTCTCCGCCCCTCCGACTCTGGCCGAGCGTCAGCGTCGCTCGCGGAGATCCACCGCCCCCTGGTGGCTCCCCGAGCCGGGGCACTCTGGAACAGGGGTCGGCAACCTACGGCTCCGGAGTCGCATGTGGCTCTTTATGGGCTGCTTCTTGACGATATGTACGTATGTACATAGATGCATTGCGGCTCTTGAAATACTGAATTTTGTACCGAATTGGAAAGAAATGGCTCTTCTTGTTATTTTGGTTGCCGACCCCTGCTCTAGAAGGAATCTTTTTCATTTCGCTCGACTCTTTCACCTGAATAGCACCCTGGTGAGGGCCCCCACTGAGCTACGTAATGTCGCTCCTGTTTGCGGAAGCGACCTGTCTGTCGCAAACGATAGCGCGACGGAAGGTGCGGCTCGTCGTCGTCGTCGTCTGGATATTTATGGCAGCGGCCAAATGACTCCTACAGGCGTGGTGACGTCCATTCTTAAATGTGGAGGGGGGGGTGGCGGGGGAAAAGCGGAGGACCCGGAGAAAAATCCACGTGACCACTGGGAGAGAGCGAGACACCGCGAAAAAATACAGCAGGCGTCAGGGTCGGTAATGAACCCACGACGTTCTGTATACCAGGCGAGGTAGTTAACATATCCTAGGCACCGCGGTGATGATGATGAGAGAGAGCGAGACACGCAAGCTCCAAATAGACAGCAGCAGGCGTCGTCAGGGTTGGGATCGAACCCACGACCTCCTGTACACCAGGCTGCATCATCAGCAAGAGCTACTTATCCGAGTCTCACTCGATCATTTTAATTTGCAAATGCGGCCGGGCATGGCGCTGGCCAGCACCCACCCAGCTCCTTCCCTCGTGTGCCGCCGTGTGCCGGCCTTCGTAGGCGCCGCCACTCGCTACTGACGGGCTTCTTGGGGTGGTCGGTGTGTGGTGTGTGTGTTGTGGTGTGGTGTGTGTGGTGTGGTGTGTGTGGTGTGGTGTGTGTGGTGTGGTGTGTGTGGTGTGGTGTGTGTGGTGTGTGATGGCGGTGGTGGTGCAGGTTCAACCAGGAGCGCATGAGGATGAGTCCGTCGCCGGCGCCGGGAGCGGCGAGCATCTACTCGGAGAGCCACTCACCAGCTTCCAACCGCAGCCGCACGCCCAACGACTCGAGCACACTGGACAGAGGTACGGCGGAGGCCTCGCGCGTGTTACATGCGTGTTACACGCGTGTCACACGCGTGTCATTCACACGAGACTCGCACGGCGCTCTTGCCAACACGTGGAGACGTTCAGAATCATCAGGCGCGGGTAATTAGTGGGGGTGTGTAATCTGTGTCTCTGTGCGCGTGTGTCTCTGTGTGTGCGTGTCTCTGTGTGTGCGTGTCTCTGTGCGTGCGTGTCTCTGTGCGTGCGTGTCTCTGTGTGTGTGCGTGTATCTGTGCGTGCGTGTGTCTGTGCGTGCGTGTCTCTGTGCGTGCGTGTCTCTGTGCGTGCGCGTCTCTGTGCGTGCGTGTCTCTGTGCGTGCGTGTGTATCTGTGTGTGTGTCTCTGTGTGCGCGTGTCTCTGTGTGTGCGTGTCTCTGTGTGCGTGTCTCTGTGTGTGCGTGTGTATCTGTGTGTGTGTCTCTGTGTGCGTGTGTATCTGTGCGTGTGTATCTGTGTGCGCGTGTCTCTGTGGGTGCGTGTGTATCTGTGTGTGCGTGTCTCTGTGCGCGTGTCTCTGCGTGCGTGTCTCTGTGTGTGCGTGTGTATCTGTGCGCGTGTCTCTGTGCGCGTTACCGTGTCGCTGCTCAGATTCGGACCGCTTCAGCGTCTACTCGCAGGATTCTGATGAGACTCCGGAGATGATGGCCAAGAGGGTGGACAGAGATGTGGTGAGGCCCCAGTACACGCACACCGCACACCACACCACACCGCACACACCACACCACACCACACACACACCACACACACACATACACCACCACACACCCACATACACCACCACACACACACAAACACCACACACACACACCACACCACACACCACACGCACCACACACACACCACACACACTCACCACACCACGCACTCCACTCACCCTCCCCACGTGGTCAACCCCCCCTCCCCCGTCTCCACCGAACGTTCGCAGCAAATCCTGAACCACCTGCTGGACGATATTGAGCTGTTCGTGGCGCGCCTGCAGAAGTCTGCCGAGGCCTACGGGGAGCTGAGCAAGCGCAAGAAGGAGAAGAAGGGGAAGCGGAAGGGCGGTGAGCAACGGTCGCGGTGCCGGGCGACGCGCCGTGTGACGGAGCTCCGTGCCGTGTGACGGAGCTCCGTGCCACTCTGCTACCCATGTGACGGAGCTCTGTGTTGTGTGACGTGGTGTGTGACGGAGCTCCGTGCCGTGTGACGGAGCTCCATGCTGTGTGACGTGGCTTGTGACGGAGCTCCGTGCCGTGCGACGGAGCGCCATGCTGTGTGACGCGGCTTGTGACGGAGCTCCGTGCCGTGCGACGGAGCTCCATGCTGTGTGACGCGGCGTGTGACGGAGCTCTGTGCTGTGCCCTTCGCCAGAGGGGGTGCTCACGCTGCGCTCCAAGCCACCACCTCCAGGAGAGTTCCGGGAAATCCTGCAGAAGTTCAAATACTGCTTCAATCTCCTGGTGCGTGCACTCCCCCATTCAGCTACCCACTCAGCTACCCACACTCACCCACCCGGCGACCCACACTCACCCACCCGGCGACCCACACTCACCCACTCAGCTACCCACACTCACCCACTCAGCTACCCACACTCACCCACTCAGCTACCCACACTCACCCACTCAGCTACCCACACTCCCCCACTCAGCTACCCACCCAGCTACCCACACTCACCCACCCGGCGACCCACACTCACCCACTCAGCTACCCACCCAGCTACCCACACTCACCCACCCGGCTACCCACACTCACCCACTCAGCTACCCACCCAGCTACCCACACTCACCCACCCAGCTACCCACACTCACCCACTCAGCTACCCACCCAGCTACCCACACTCACCCACCCAGCTACCCACACTCACCCACTCAGCTACCCACCCAGCTACCCACACTCACCCACCCGGCTACCCACACTCACCCACCCGGCTACCCACACTCACCCACTCGGCTACCCACATTCACCCACTCAGCTACCCACACTCACCCACCCAGCTACCCACACTCACCCACTCAGCTACCCACACTCACCCACTCAGCTACCCACCCGGCTACCCACACTCACCCACCCAGCTACCCACACTCACCCACTCAGCTACCCACCCAGCTACCCACACTCACCCACCCAGCTACCCACACTCACCCACTCAGCTACCCACTTTCACCCACTCAGCTACCCACACGTAGCTGAGTGCGCTGACTGGATGTGCCTCGTTTTGCGTTGTGCAGGCGCGGCTCAAAGGCCACATCCAGAACCCCGACTCCATTGAGCTCGTCCACTTCCTGTTCACGCCCCTGGAGATGGTGGGTGGACGGCTCCCTTGGGGGCGGCGGAGGGGGGGGTGCGAGTCTGAGTGTGTGGGTTGAGTGCGAGGTGAGTGCGGTGTAGTGAGGTGAGTGCAGTGTGAGTGTGCGTGCGAGGTGAGGTGAGTGCGTGCGAGGTGAGTGAGCGCGAGGTGAGTGAGCGTGTGTGAGGTGAGTGTGCGTACGTGTGAGTGTGTGAGGTGAGTGTGCGTACGTGTGAGTGTGCGAGGTGAGTGTGCGTGCGAGGTGAGTGTGCGCGCGAGGTGAGTGAGTGTGCGTGCGATGTGAGTGGTGGTTCAGTGGCCTTGGCTCTACGAATACGGAGAGGCGAGTGGCGAGTGGTTGGTGTGGGTGGCGTGGGTGGCGTGGGTGGCGTGGTGAAGTATGGTCAAGCATCAACTCCCCCCCCCCCCGTCCACCTCCGTGGCCGTAGTAACGCGACGTCGAGAGAGGCCTTCATCCAGCAGTGGATTGACGAAGGCCTGGGGATGACTGTTACTTGAATAGAAATGGTTGTCACCTGAGATGTGGTCTGTGTGCGTGTGTCTGTGTGTGTGTCTGTGTGTGTGTGCGTGAAGTGTCTGTATGCGAGCGTCTCTGTGTGTGTGAGTGTATGAGTGTCTGTGTGTGAGTGTGTGTGTATGAGTGTCTGTGTGTGAGTGTCTGTGTGTGAGTGGTGGGTGAGTGGCGGCATAGCGGTTCCGTGCCTGCGGCCATCAACGCCGATGACGATTATCTGAACCGCTCCCGGGCCTCCCCTAGGTCGACTCGGCCTCTAATGAGTACCCGGTGCGGTGCGTAAACCTCGTCGCTGGGGAGACAAAGGCGGCCGGGCGTGGTGCTGGCCACCCACCCCCTCGTGCACCTTGCCGGCCTCCGTAGGCGCCGCTCGCTTAACAGCACTTGCCCCGACAGTCTGTTGAGGCTACACGGGGGATCTTTGTCTGTGCCCGTTCCCAGGTGGTGCAGAGCACGGGGGGACCCGACCTGGCGCGCCTCATCACGAGCCCGCTGCTGACGCGCGACTGCATCGACATGCTGCACGGCTGCCTCACCGCCAAGGAGAGGGAGCTGTGGAAGTCGTGCGGGGACGCGTGGAACAAGTCCAAGTGGGTCGCTCGCCCTCACACGCTCACTCACGCTCACACGCTCACTCACACGCACTCTCTCTCCCAGGCACACGCTCGCTCGCACGCTCTCTCGCTCTCACATGCACTCTCTCTCCCAGGCACACGCTCTCCCTCTCACGCACATGCTCGCTCGCCTTCTCACGCACACGCTCGCTCACATGCGCTCGCTCACACGCTCTCACACGCACACGCTCTCCCTCTCACCCATGCACTCGCTCACTCGCCCTCTCACCCACGCACTCGCTCACGCGCTCGCTCACACGCTCACACGCTCGCTCACACGCACGCTCTCCCTCACCCACGCACTCGCTCACACGCGCTCGCTCACACGCTCAAGCACGCTGGCGTGCACGCTCTCATCACTCTCCCACGCACACACTCGCTCACACAAGCACACGCACCTGCTCGCACACGCACGTACGCGGACGCATGCAACGCGCGCGCATGCACACGCGCAGCCACGGGTGATTTATACCCCTGGACAGACGAGCAAATCGCTCTCTGCCCGCGTGCCCTCCGCGTGCCGCACGTCTCACCGGTCGCCCCGTGCTGCCCTCTCCACGTGCCCCCCCCCACCAGGGCGGAGTGGCCCAGGGACCAGCACGTGCCGCCCTACGTGCCGCGCTTCCGCAGCGGCTGGGAGCCGCCGCTGCTGGACGTGCCGGTGCGCGAGCGCGAGCGGGAGCGCGCCCGCGAGCACGTGGCGGAGCTCGCCGACGGCAGGGGGGGGGCGCCCCCCGCCCACCACTACAACGAGCCCCCCTGGATGCACAGCGAGGTCGGTCGGTCGCTCGCTCGGGGGTTCCATCCCCACACCGGGGCGAGTGGAGGGGGGGTGCCTGTTGTGCGGGTGCATGTGTGCGTGTGTTTAGAGGTGTGTGTGTGTAGAGGTGTGTAGAGGTGTGTAGAGGTGTGTGCGTGTGTGGAGTCGGTCCAGTGTGTTCACTCGGCCCTGTTCTACAGAGTGTGGGGAGTGTTCATCGTAGAGTTAGTCTGAGTGAATGATTGATTGTCAGTCTGAGTGTTAGTGCGAGTGACTAAGTGTCAGTCTGAATGAGTGTTGGTGCGAGCGAGTATCAGTCTGAGTGTCAGTGAGCGAGTAGAATTTGCGCGTTCATCTCTCTCCCCGTGGTGGTGGCGTGGATCTTTTCCGGGGTTCCTCTCCGCGTTTGTAAACAACGCTCATTCTCAAACCTCTCTGGCCGCTGCTCTAAATCCCCCACGTGTCATGAGCCACTACGATGACGACGAGCTCATCTCCCGCGTGTGAACAAACACATTCATAGGTGGTTACCGTCTCTGGCAATAACACTTGAGGTGTGATGATGTTCAAACACCAAATAGATTCCATTTGTAAAGTTCGCCTTTAGGCCTTAAAGCAGGCTGCCTCAGTTTAAACACCAATGCCCATATATTATAATGATAACTACGAGAGCCGTGTGTGTGTGTGTGCATGTTCACCACAAGTACTGACTGTGTGGTGGTTAATGCAGTCACTTGATTCGATGCTAAACGTTCCCATTTGGTGTTTGAACACCTGAACACAACTCCTCTTGTTTCCAGAAAGCGTGAACACTTATTATTTTAGTGTCATTTCTTTCTTAATATTTCTCTACCCACGTTACTTTACCGAAAGAACCAAAGAGTATGGATCCCTGCAGTCACGAAAACTTCAAATCTAGATTTTTTGATCCTGGAATAAAAAGGTTCCATTTGTAATCTGCACGTGTGGCCGGATTGGCCTCCGGATCTGAACCGGTGGTATCCCAGCGTTGGGGGTGGGGGGGGGGGGGGTGGGGACCGGCTTCACCGCGGTAAATAAAACGGCACATCTCCTCTAGTTGGGTTGGCGCCCCTGAGACTCGGAGCACTTTAGGTAATTGCCTGCGCCCGCTCGCTTAGCGCGGAGCCCCGGGAAGGCGGGAGCCGTCATGTTTCCCGCAAGCGCCGTGCACAGCCGCGGAGAAGTGCGGCGCATCCACCGGGGAGCTCCAGAGTCTGCCAAACCGATCGCCGTGAATTCTGTCAAAGAGCTTTGGCGGAATGGAGGAGACGAGCATGATTGAGGATGATTGATGATGATTGAGGATGATGATGATGATGAGGGGAGGAGGGAATTCCAAGGAGTGGAGCAGAGAGAGATGTGGTTGTGACCTGCAGCATATTGAGTGGGTGGGTGGCTGAGTGAGTGGGTGGCTGAGTGGGTTGGTGGCTGGGTGGCTGAGTGGGTTGGTGGGTGGATGGCTGAGTGGGTGGGTTGGTGGCTGGGTGGCTGAGTGGGTTGGTGGGTGGGTGGTGGCTGGGTGGCTGAGTGGGTTGGTGGGTGGATGGCTGAGTGGGTGGGTTGGTGGGTGGGTGGCTGAGTGGGTGGCTGAGTGGGTGGGTTGGTGGGTGGGTGGCTGAGTGGGTTGGTGGGTGGGTTGGTGGGTGGCTGAGTGGGTGGGTTGTTGGGTGGGTGGCTGAGTGGGTGGGTGGCTGAGTGGGTGGGTTGGTGGGTGGCTGAGTGGGTTGGTGGGTGGTTGGTGGGTGGGTGGCTGAGTGGGTTGGTGGGTGGGTTGGTGGGTGGGTGGCTGAGTGGGTTGGTGGGTGGTGGCTGAGTGGGTTGGTGGGTGGGTGGCTGAGTGGGTTGGTGGGTGGGTGGCTGAGTGGGTTGGTGGGTGGGTGGCTGAGTGGGTGGGTTGGTGGGTGGCTGAGTGGGTTGGTGGGTGGTTTGGTGGGTGGGTGGCTGAGTGGGTTGGTGGGTGGGTTGGTGGTGGGTGGCTGAGTGGGTTGGTGGGTGGGTTGGTGGGTGGGTTGGTGGGTGGGTTGGTGGGTGGGTGGCTGAGTGGGTTGGTGGGTGGGTGGCTGAGTGGGTTGGTGGGTAGCTGAGTGGGTTGGTGGGTTGGTGGGTGGGTGGCTGAGTGGGTTGGTGGGTAAGTGGCTGAGTGTCGTTGTACCTCTGCCCCGCAGCCCGACGGTGCGGCCCACCTCCCCAACAACGGCTACGTCGCCTTCGGACAGCCGGACCCCTACCATCACGGCCTGCTGCCTCCCGGCGACCGGTGACCCACGACCCCCCCCCACGTCTCTCTCACCACCCCCCCCCCACGTCTCTCACTCACCACCCCCCCCCCACGTCTCTCTCACCCCCCCCCCACGTCTCTCTCACCACCCCCCCCCACGTCTCTCTCACACCCCCCCCCCACGTCTCTCACTCACCACCCCCCCCCCACGTCTCTCTCACCCCCCCCCACGTCTCTCTCACCACCCCCCCCCCACGTCTCTCTCACCACCCCCCCCACGTCTCTCTCACCCCCCCCACGTCTCTCTCACCACCCCCCCACGTCTCTCTCACCCCCCCCCCCACGTCTCTCTCACCCCCCCCCCCCCCACGTCTCTCTCACCCCCCCCCCACGTCTCTCTCACCCCCCCCCCCAGTCTCTCTCACCCCCCCCCCACGTCTCTCTCACCCCCCCCCCACGTCTCTCTCACCCCCCCCCAGTCTCTCTCACCCCCCTCCCCACGTCTCTCTCACCCCCCCCCCCACGTCTCTCTCACCCCCCCCCCCACGTCTCTCTCACCACCCCCCCCCCCACGTCTCTCTCACCACCCCCCCCCCACGTCTCTCTCACCCCCCCCACGTCTCTCACCCCCCCCCACGTCTCTCTCACCCCCCCCCCCACGTCTCTCTCACCCCCCCACGTCTCTCTCACCCCCCCCCCAGTCTCTCTCACCCCCCCCCACGTCTCTCTCACCCCCCCCCACGTCTCTCTCACCCCCCCCCCCACGTCTCTCTCACCCCCCCCAGTCTCTCACCCCCCCCCCCACGTCTCTCTCACCCCCCCCCCCCCACGTCTCTCTCACCCCCCCCCCCACGTCTCTCTCACCCCCCCCCAGTCTCTCTCACCCCCCCCCCCCCACGTCTCTCTCACCCCCCCCCCCCCACGTCTCTCACCCCCCCCCCACGTCTCTCTCTCACCACCCCCCCCCCCACGTCTCTCTCACCCCCCCCCACGTCCTCTCTCACCACCCCCCCCCCACGTCTCTCTCACCCCCCCCCACGTCTCTCTCACCCCCCCCACGTCTCTCTCACCCCCCCCCCACGTCTCTCTCACCCCCCCCACGTCTCTCTAACCCCCCCCCCCACGTCTCTCTCGACCCCCCCCCACGTCTCTCTCACCCCCCCCCCCAGTCTCTCTCACCCCCCCCCCCCACGTCTCTCTCACCCCCCCCCCCACGTCTCTCACCCCCCCCACGTCTCTCTCACCCCCCCCCACGTCTCTCTCACCCCCCCCCCCACGTCTCTCTCTCACCACCCCCCCCCACGTCTCTCTCACCCCCCCCCAGTCTCTCTCACCCCCCCCCCCCCACGTCTCTCTCACCCCCCCCCCCCCACGTCTCTCACCCCCCCCCCACGTCTCTCTCTCACCACCCCCCCCCCACGTCTCTCTCACCCCCCCCCACGTCTCTCTCACCACCCCCCCCCCACGTCTCTCTCACCCCCCCCCACGTCTCTCTCACCCCCCCCCACGTCTCTCTCACCCCCCCCCCACGTCTCTCTCACCCCCCCACGTCTCTCTAACCCCCCCCCCCCACGTCTCTCTCGACCCCCCCCCCACGTCTCTCTCACCCCCCCCCCCCAGTCTCTCTCACCCCCCCCCCCACGTCTCTCTCACCCCCCCCCCCACGTCTCTCACCCCCCCCACGTCTCTCTCACCCCCCCCCCACGTCTCTCTCACCCCCCCCCCCCACGTCTCTCTCTCACCACCCCCCCCCCCACGTCTCTCTCACCCCCCCCCCACGTCTCTCTCACCACCCCCCCCCACGTCTCTCTCACCACCCCCCCCACGTCTCTCTCACCCCCCCCGCACGTCTCTCTCACCCCCCCCCCACGTCTCTCTCACCCCCCCCCCCACGTCTCTCTCACCACCCCCCCACGTCTCTCTCACCACCCCCCCCCACGTCTCTCTCACCACCCCCCCCACGTCTCTCTCACCCCCCCCCACGTCTCTCTCACCCCCCCCACGTCTCTCTCACCACCCCCCCACGTCTCTCTCTAACCACCCCCCCCCCGTGTCGCCTGCAGGGGCTTTGACGGCTCTGCCGCCCCCCCGCCGCGCTCCCCGCTGGGCCCCCAGACGGCCATCGTGCGCTACGACTTCATGGCGAGGAACAGCAACGAGCTGGCGGTGCGCAAGGACGACCTCGTGGAGGTGAAGCGACGACGACACGCGACACGGGGGGGGGGGGTGAGACGTGGGGGCGGGGGAGACGTGGGGGGGGGGAGGCGTGGGGGGGAGAGACGTGGGGTGGTGGGGGAGAGATGTGGGGGGGGGGGGGAGAGAGACGTGGGGGGTGGTGAGAGAGAGACGTGGGGGGGGGGAGAGGGCACTCGGATTAGAGTGCTAATCCGAGTGCTCGTGGCGAGCGAGTCGTGAGTGAGTTCGTGAGCAGAGTTTGCGTGTTTCTCTCCCCATGGTGGTCTCGTGGACTTTTCTGCTGCAGTTTCTGCTTCTGCTGCAGCTGGAGAAGCTGCAGCAGCAGCAGTAGCTGCAGCTGCAGCTACTGCTGCTGCAGCAGCAGTAGCTGCAGCTACTGCTGCTGCTGCAGCTTGGTGCTGATCGCTCCCCGCTCCGTGCCAACAACGGCGCCCACCGCCCCAGCGGCGCTCGCTCCCCGCGTCCCGCTCGGCTCGCGTTCTCCGGGCAAGTCCGTCGGTTTAACCGCCCCCCTCCCTCACGCCCGCCCGCAGGTGATCGAGAACAGCAAGCAGTGGTGGAAGGTGCGCAGCGTGACGGGGCACGAGGGCTACGTGCCTAACAACATCCTGGACCTGCTCAAGGGCGGCGGCGACGGCATCGGCGGCGGCGGCGGCGTTGGCCTGCACGACGAGCCGCTGTACAGCCGAGCCCTGCAGGTGAACCTTGCGCCGTGCTCGCCTCGGAGGGGGGGGGGGGGGGGTTCTCATCATTGAGCCCTCATGGTTCGCTAACTTCGGGCTCATCAGTGAGCCTACGGCTTGCCTACTCGGGGTCTCATCGGTGAGCCCCCAAGGCTCACTAACCTCAGGGTCTCACAGTTGACCTACTCGCGGTCTCACGAGTGATAGGAATGCAGAATTTCCATTCACCACGCGTGGTAACGTGTCCCCTCTCCTGTCGCGTGGTAACGTGTCCCGTCACGTGGTAACGTGGTAACGTCTTCCGTCGCGTGGTAACATGTCCCATCTCCCGTCACGTGTCAATGTGTCCCGTCTCCCGTCGCTAGCTCTATATGCCCAAGGAGGAGTTGCAGCGCTACAAGGTAACGTCCTCGTCGTCATCGTCGTCATTGGCGCGTTAACCGCGGCGCTTGCTGTGGTTTGTTTTGAACACTGACGTCCAAGCCGCAGTAGAAATGTTTTCGAGTACATGTGTCAATGTGTATCAGTGTTACACTTGCTGTGTTTGCCCCCCCGGTGTGACACAGCAACGACGCGGCCACAGCAGTGTGCGTCGTAGGAAAGCCCTCCACCGCCCGACCGTCGCGAGCGGTGGGGGGGGGGGGGGGGGTAAGAAGAGCTTGGCGGCTTTTCGTATTTACCGTGAGCTCTCGCAGAAGAGATTATAATTCTGAACGAAACATTTTTTATGTCCTATATAACCTGCGAAGAAGCCTCGAGGCACGATTTTGTTGTTGGCGGCGGTCGGATGAGGTGCCGGGCTTGATTCTTTTGAAGCGGCGCCAATGCGACGGGGCCCCCCGGGAGAGTGGGAATGTTAATCTCTTCATATCGTTGTACAGCTGTATTATTCATGATGGCAGAGCTTACGCAAGCACCAATGTGGCCTGGTCGTTGCTGTACGTGGCCTAACCGCCGTAGATCAATTGTGCATCTTGAAATCGGCTACAAAAGCCTACGTAATACTACTACTTCTTACTACTTACTACTTGCTACTAACCATTACTACTGCTACCAACTATTACTACTTACTAATTAATACTTACTGCTATTACTACTTGCTACTAACCATTACGACTTGCCACGAGTGTGTGCTGTGTTGTTGCCGTTTCATTCGTGTGCACGTTGAGAGGTCTCCGGTTTAACCGTTACCGGTGGCTCCGTCTTTCCCCTCTTGAGTCGACAACGGGATGTCGCTGAGAGTGGCCTCACGGTGGCTATGAGACGTTAACTACCTCGCCCGGTAGGCAGGAGGTCGTGGGTTCGATCCCGGCTCTAGCGACGCCTGCCGCTGTACATTTGGAGTCTGCGTGTCTCTCTCCCCGTGGTCACTGCGTGGATTTGTCTCCGGGTCCTCCGGTCTTTCCCTCCACGTCTAGAAACATGTGGTGAGAGTATTTTGGCTGCTGCTGTAAATTCCCACGTGATGACGATGAAGAGCCGCCACTTGGTTGAGCTGTCGGTTGTGGCCAGGTGGTTTGTGACAAGAGCCACACAGTCTCTCTCTCACGAGGCAGGGGCCCATGGAGCTGAGTGCGATATTGGGTGAGCGAGTGGGTGGGTGGACTAGTGGTTGGGTGGGTGGGTGGACTAGTGGTTGGGTGGGTGGACTAGTGGTTGGGTGGGTGGACTAGTGGTTGGGTGGGCTAGTGGTTGGGTGGGTGGGCTAGTGGTTGGGTGGGTGGGCTAGTGGTTGGGTGGGTGGACTAGTGGTTGGGTGGGTGGGCTAGTGGTTGGGTGGGTGGACTAGTGGTTGGGTGGGCTAGTGGTTGGGTGGGTGGGCTAGTGGTTGGTGGGTGGACTAGTGGTTGGGTGGGTGGGTGGGCTAGTGGTTGGTGGGTGGGTGGGTGGACTAGTGGTTGGGTGGGTGGGTGGACTAGTGGTTGGGTGGGTGGGTGGGTGGACTAGTGGTTGGGTGGGGTGGGTGGGTGGACTAGTGGTTGGGTGGGTGGGTGGTGACTAGTGGTTGGGTGGGTGGTGGGTGGACTAGTGGTTGGGTGGGTGGGGGGGTGGACCTAGTGGTTGGGTGGGTGGGTGGGTGGACTAGTGGTTGGGTGGGTGGGTGGGTGGACTAGTGTTGGGTGGGTTGGGGTGGGTGGAACTAAGTGGTTGGGTGGGTGGGTGGGGTGACTAGTGGTTGGGTGGGTGGGTGGGTGGACTAGATGGTTGGTGGGTGTGGGTGGGTGGGGGGACTATTGGTTGGGTGGGTGGGTGGACTAGTGGTGGACTAGTGGTGGGTGGGTGGGTGGACTAGTGGGTGGGTGGTTTTTGGTGGGTGTGGTGGGTGGGTGGACTAGTGGTGGGTGGGTGGGTGGGTGGGTGGGACTAGTGGTGGGGGGGTGGGGGGGGTGGTGGTGGGTGGACTAGTGGTTGGGTGGGTGGGTGGGGGGTGGACTAGTGGTGGGTGGGTGGGTGGGTGGGTTGACTAGTGGTTTGGTGGGTGGGTGGGTGGGTGGACTAGTGGTTGGGGGTGGGTGGGTGGGTGGGTGGACTAGTGGTTGGGTGGGTGGGTGGGTGGACTAGTGGTTGGGTGGGTGGGTGGACTAGTGGTTGGGTGGGTGGGTGGGTGGACTAGTGGTTGGGTGGGTGGGTGGGTGGGTGGACTAGTGGTTGGGTGGGTGGGTGGGTGGGTGGACTAGTGGTTGGGTGGGTGGGTGGGTGGGTGGACTAGTGGTTGGGGGGTGGGTGGGGGGGTGGACTAGTGGTTGGGTGGGTGGGTGGGTGGGTGGACTAGTGGTTGGGTGGGTGGGTGGGTGGACTAGTGGTTGGGTGGTGGGTGGGTGGGTGGACTAGTGGGTGGGTGGGTGGGTGGACTAGTGGTTGGGTGGGTGGGTGGGTGGACTAGTGGTTGGGTGGGGGGTGGGTGGACTAGTGGTTGGGTGGGTGGGTGGGTGGGTGGACTAGTTGGGTGGGTGGGTGGGGGTGGGACTAGTGGTTGGGTGGGGGGTGGGTGGGTGGACTAGTGGTGGGTGGGTGGGTGGGTGGTGGTGGTGGGTGGGTGGTGGTGACTAGGGTGGGGGTGGGTGGTGGGTGGACTAGTGGTTGGGTGGGTGGGTGGGTGGGGACTAGTGGTTGGGTGGGTGGGTGGGTGGACTAGTGGTTGGGTGGGTGGGTGGGTTGGTGGGTGGGGACTAGTGGTTGGGTGGGTGGGTGGGTGGGTGGACTAGTGGTTGGGTGGGTGGGTGGGGTGGACTAGTGGTTGGGTGGTGGTGGGTGGGTGGGGACTAGTGGTTGGTGGGTGGGTGGGTGGACTAGTGGTTGGGTGGGTGGGTGGGTGGGTGGACTAGTGGGTGGGTGGGTGGGTGGACTAGTGGTTGGGTGGGTGGGTGGGTGGGTGGACTAGTGGTTGGGTGGGTGGGTGGGTGGACTAGTGGGTTGGGGGGGGTGGTGGGTGGACTAGTGGTGGGTGGGTGGGTGACTAGTGGTTGGGTGGGTGGGTGGGTGGGTGGACTAGTGGTTGGTGGGTGGGTGGGTGGGTGGACTAGTGGTTGGGTGGGTGGGTGGGTGGACTATGGTTGGGTGGGTGGGTGGGTGGGACTAGTGGTTGGGTGGGTGGGTGGGGTGGACTAGTGGTTGGGTGGGTGGGTGGGGTGGGTGGACTAGTGGTTGGGTGGGTGGGTGGGTGGGTGGAACTAGTGTTGGTGGGTGGGTGGGTGGTGACTAGTGGTTGGGTGGGGGTGGGTGGGGTGGACTAGTGGTTTGGGTGGGTGGGTTGGGTGGACTAGTGGTTGGGGGGTGGGTGTGGGTGACTAGTGGTTGGGTGGGTGGGTGGGTGGGTGGGTGGGGTGGACTAGTGGTTGGGTGGGTGGGTGGGTGGGTGGACCTAGTGGTTGGGTGGGTGGTGGGTGGTTGGACTAGTGGTTGGGTGGGTGGGTGGGTGGGTGGACTAGTGGGTGGGTGGGTGGGTGACTAGTGGTTGGGTGGGTGGGTGGGGGTGACTAGTGGTGGGGGGGTGGTGGTGTGGGTGGACTAGTGGTTGGGTGGGTGGGTGGGTGGGTGGACATAGTGGTTGGGTGGGTGGTGGGTGGACTAGTGGTTGGGTGGGTGGGTGGGTGGGTGGACTAGTGGTTGGTGGGTGGGTGGGTGGACTAGGGTTGGTGGGTGGCGTGGGTGGGTGGACTAGTGGTGGGTGGGGGGTGGGTGGGACTAGTGGTTGGGTGGTGGGTGGGTGGGTGGACTAGTGGTTGGTGTGGGTGGGTGGGTGGACTAGGGTTGGGTGGGTGGGTGGGTGGGTGGACTAGTGGTTGGGGGGTGGGTGGGTGGTGGACTAGTGGTTGGGTGGGTGGGTGGGTGGACTGTGGTTGGTGGCTAGTGGTTGGGTGGGTGGGTGGGTGGACTAGTGGTTGGGTGGGTGGGTGGGTGGGTGGACTAGTGGTTGGGTGGGTGGGTGGTGGGTGGACTAGTGGTTGGGTGGTTGGGTGGGTGGCGTGGACTAGTGGTGGGTGGGTGGGTGGGTGGACTAGTGGTTGGGTGGGTGGGTGGGTGGGGGGACTAGTGGTTGGGTGGGTGGGTGGGTGGGTTGGATAGTGGTTGGGTGGGTGGGGGTGGGTGGACTAGTGGTTGGGTGGGTGGGTGGGTGGGTGGACTAGTGGTTGGGTGGGTGGGTGGGTGGACTAGTGGTTGGGTGGGGTGGGTGGGTGGGGGACTAGTGGTGGGTGGGTGGGTGGGTGGGTGGACTAGTGGTTGGGTGGGTGGGTGGGTGGGTGGACTAGTGGTTGGGTGGGTGGGGGGGTGGGTGGACTAGTGGTTGGGTGGGTGGGTGGGTGGACTAGTGGTTGGGTGGGTGGGTGGGTGGGTGGACTAGTGGTTGGGTGGGTGGGTGGTGGACTAGTGGTTGGGTGGGTGGGTGGGTGGACTAGTGGTTGGGTGGGTGGGTGGGGTGGGTGGACTAGTGGTTGGGTGGGGGGTGGGTGGGTGGACTAGTGGTGGGTGGGTGGGTGGGTGGGTGGATAGTGGTTGGGTGGGGTGGGTGGACTAGTGGTTGGGGGGTGGGTGGGTGGGTGGACTAGTGGTTGGGGGGTGGGTGGGTGGGTGGACTAGTGGTTGGGTGGGTGGGTGGGTGGGTGGATAGTGGTTGGGTGGGTGGGTGGGTGGGTGGACTAGTGGTTGGGTGGGTGGGTGGGTGGGTGGACTAGTGGTTGGGTGGGGTGGGTGGGTGGACTAGTGGTTGGGTGGGTGGGTGGGTGGGTGGACTAGTGGTTGGGTGGGTGGGTGGGGGGTGGACTAGTGGTTGGGTGGGTGGGTGGGTGGGTGGACTAGGGGTGGGTGGGTGGGTGGGTGGAGTGGGTGGGTGGGTGGGTGGGTGGACTAGTGGTTGGGGGGTGGGTGGGTGGACTAGTGGTTGGGTGGGTGGGTGGGTGGGTGGACTAGTGGTTGGGGGTGGGTGGGTGGGGGGGTTGGGTGGGGGGTGGGTGGGTGGTGGACTAGTGGTTGGGTGGGTGGGTGGGTGGGTGGACTAGTGGTTGGGGGGGTGGGTGGGTGGACTAGTGGTTGGGTGGGTGGGTGGGTGGGTGTGGACTAGTGGTTGGGTGGGGGTGGGTGGGTGGGGGGGGGTGGGGGACTAGTGGTTGGGTGGGTGGGTGGGTGGGTGGGTGGACTAGTGGTGGGTGGGTGGGTGGGTGGGTGGGTGGACTAGTGGTTGGGTGGGTGGCCTAGTGGTGGGTGGGGGTGGGTGGGTGGTGGACTAGTGGTTGGGTGGGTGGTGGGTGGGTGGACTAGTGGTTGGGTGGGTGGGTGGGTGGGTGGACTAGGGTTGGGTGGTGGGTGGGTGGGTGGAATAGTGGTTGGGTGGGTGGGTGGGTGGGTGGGTGGACTAGTGGTTGGGTGGGTGGGTGGGTGGATCAGTGGTTGGGTGGGTGGGTGGGTGGGTGGACTAGTGGTTGGCGTGGGTGGGTGGACTAGTGGTTGGGTGGGTGGGTGGGTGGGTGGACTAGTGGTTGGGTGGGTGGGTGGGTGGACTAGTGGTTGGTGTGGGTGGGTGGGTGGGTGGACTAGTGGTTGGGTGGGTGGGTGGGTGGGTGGACTAGTGGTGGGTGGGTGGGTGGGTGGGTGGACTAGTGGTTGGGTGGGTGGGTGGGTGGTGGACTGTGGTTGGGTGGGGGTGGGTGGGTGGACTAGTGGTTGGGTGGGTGGTGGGTGGGTTGGGGTGGGACTAGTGGTTGGGTGGGTGGGTGGGTGGTGGACTTAGTGGTTGGTGTGGGTGGGTGAGGTGGGTGGACTAGTGGTTGGGTGGGAGTTGGGGTGGGGGACTACGTGGTTGGGTGGGTGGTGGGTTGTGGACTAGGGCTTGGGTGGCGTGGGTGGGTGGGTGTGGACTCGTGGTTGGGTGGGTGGGTGGGTGGGTGGACTAGTGCGCTGGGTGGGTGGGTGGGGTGGGTGGATAGTGGTTGGGTGAGTGGTGGGTGGGTGGGTGGACTAGTGGTTGGGTGGGGTGGGGTGGGTGGGTGGACTAGTGGTTGGGTGGAGGGTGGGCTGTGGGTGGGTGGGAACTAGTGGTTGGGTGGTGGGTGGTGGGTGGACTAGTGGTTGGGTGGGTGGGTGGGGTGGGTGGACTAGTGGTTGGGTGGGTGGGTGGGTGAATAGTGGTTGGGTGGGTGGGTGTTGTGGACGGGACTAGTGGTTGGGTGGGTGGGTGGGTGGACTAGTGGACGGCCTCGTGTTGGGTGGGGGGTGGTTGGACTCGTGGTTGGGTGGGTGGGTGGGTGGGTGGGTGGATAGTGGTTGGGTGGGTGGTGGTGGGTGGTGGTGGTGGGTGGGGGATATTGTTGGGTGGGTGGGTGGACTAGTGGTTGGGGGGGTGGGTGGGTGGGTGGACTAGTGGTTGGGGGGTGGGTGGGTGGGTGGACTAGTGGTTGGGTGGGTGGGTGGGTGGGTGGACTAGTGGTTGGGTGGGGGGTGGGTGGACTAGTGGTTGGGTGGGTGGGTGGGTGGGTGGGTGGGTGGGTGGGTGGACTAGTGGTTGGTGGGTGGGTGGGTGGGTGGACTAGTGGTTGGGTGGGTGGGTGGGTGGGTGGACTAGTGGTTGGGTGGGGGGGGGTGGGTGGACTAGTGGTTGGGGGTGTGGGGGGGGTGGGGACTAGTGGTTGGGTGGGTGGGTGGACTAGTGGTTGGGTGGGTGGGTGGACTAGTGGTTGGGGGGTGGACTAGTGGTTGGGTGGGTGGGCGGGCGGACTAGTGGTGGGTGGGTGGGCGGGCGGACTAGTGGTTGGGTGGGGGGCGGGCGGACTAGTGGTTGGGTGGGTGGGCGGGCGGACTAGTGGTTGGGTGGGGGCGGGACGGATAGTGGTGGGTGGCGTGGGCGGGCGGAATAGTGGTTGGGTGGGTGGGAGGGCGGACTAGTGGTTGGGTGGGTGGCGCGGGGCGGACTAGTGGTTGTGGTGGGTGGCGGCGGACTAGTGGTTGGGTGGGGTGGGAGGGCGGAGGACTAGGGTTTGGGTGGAGTGGTGCGGGCGGACTAGTGGGTTGGGTGGGTGGGCGGGAAGGACTAGTGGTTGGGTGGGTGGGCGGAGGGCCGGACCTAGTGGTTGGGTGGGTGGGCGGGCGGACTACGTGGTTGGGTGGGTGGGGCGGGGCGGACTAGTGGTTGGGTGGGTGGCGGGCGGGACTAGTGGTGGGTGGGTGGGGGCGGGCGGGACTAGTGGTGGGTGGGTGGGCGGGCGGACTAGTGTTGGTTGGGTGGGCGGGCGGACTATGGTGGGTGGGTGGGCGGGCCGGACTAGTGGTTGGGTGGGTGGGCGTGGTTGGGGGGCGGGCGGACTAGTGGTTGGGTGGGTGGGCGGGCGGACAGTGGTTGGGTGGGTGGGCGGGAGGACTAGGGTTGGGTGGGTGGGCGGGCGGACTAGTGGTTGGGTGGGTGGGCGGGCGGACCTAGTGTTGGGTGGGTGGGCGGGCGGACTAGTGGTTGGGTGGGTGGGCGGGCGGACTAGTGGTTGGGTGGGTGGGCGGGCGGACTAGTGGTTGGGTGGGTGGGCGGGCGGACTAGTGGTTGGGTGGGTGGGCGGGCTAGTGGTTGGGTGGGTGGGCTAGTGGGCGGGCTAGTGGTTGGGTGGGTGGGCTAGTGGGTGGCCTAGTGGTTGGGTGGGTGGGCTAGTGGGTGGCCTAGTGGTTGGGTGGGCGTGCATCCGTGACCTGCGGTGTGTGTGGGTGGTAGCTCAGCCTGGCAGGGTCCGCCCGCTAAAGCGTACCGACTAAGCTCCGTCCTTTCCCAGCCACGCAACGCTGGCGGAGCGCCGTGGGGTGCAGCGTTCAGGGAGCAGCCCCTGCAATTGCTTCCCCGTTGGCACTGCTGGTGGAAGGGGGAGGGCCCACTGCGCAAGGGGCGAGCGCACTCTTGAATTTGCCGTGCGCGTGCTGTGTGCATGTACGTTTGAACTTCTTCCGCACCGTACGTAGCCAACCGCGCTAATCGGAGGTGCGTCGTAACGCAACGCCTCGTGGTGTGCGTCCGCTCTGTCCATTTCACCCCCCCCCCCCCCCCGTGTGATTTTGCCGGAGCCAGCGGTTGGTGGGAGAACTGTCGGAGGTAAAACTTTGCCGAGTTTGTCATCTTGCTCGAGATTGCCGTGGCGACCGCTCGCGTTGGGGGAGAAGGGGAGGGGGTGTTTGTCGTGTGTGCAGCGAGTCTCACCTGGGGAGGGGGTGGAGCTGGTGATAGCTGGCGACCGTTGCCGCTGAATCTGCCCCAGTGGATCGTGGCCTTGAGAGTGGCCACAGCGGCTTGCGCAGCTCCCTGGTCGTGTTGTGTTCTTGTGTTGGTTTGTGTTGTTGTGTTGTTGTGTTGGTTTGTGTTGTTGTTGTGTTGTTGCATGGTGTGTTGTGTTTATTTGCCTGGGCAGTCCGTGGGCCACCCATGGGCCGTAGTCGAGGAGATGATTCCCGCTGCCTTGCTGCTCGCGCGAGTGTGTGAGTGTGTGCGTGTGTGTGTGAGGTGTGCGAGCGTGTGTGTGCGCGTCTGTGTGTGTGCTTGTGTGGTCGCTCAAACGCAACGCGACGTTGTGTTTGTGTGTCAGGCGCGTTACCCTGACCCTAACTGGTCTCGCGCTCGTGTGCGTGCCTGGACGTTTGCATGGTGTGTCGCGTGTGCGTGCGTGTGCGCCCGTGTGTATGTGTGTGTGTGTGCGTGCATGCGTGTGCGTGTGTATGTGCGTGCGTGTGTGTGTGTGCGCCCGTGCGTGCGTGTGTATGTGCGTGCGTGTATAGAAACAGCGCACGGACAGTAGCAGCCACTACCCGGGCCCAGCGTCCCCAGGCCTCCCGTTGCCGCCCAACGGCCTCCAGCGGCAGGGCAGCGTGGACTCGGCGAACGCCGCGGGGCCCGAACCGCCACGCGGCAACAACAACAACAACCAGCGAGACCCGGCCTCGCAGCATGGCGAGTGTGGGGTGGGGGGGCGGCGGTTGTGGCACTACAGCAGCGGCGGTAGTGTTGGTGGTGGCACAGCAGTTGGTGGTGGTGTTGGCACGGCGGTTGGTGGTGGTGGTGGCACGGCGGTGGTGGTGGTGTTGGCACGGCGGTTGGTGGTGGTGGCACAGCGGTTGGTGGTGGTGTTGGCGCGGCGGTGGTGGTGGCACAGGTGTTGGCCAGTCACCCACTAAATTAAAAACGAGATCCCTCATTACCCGGGAAGTGGTCGGGACTAAGCAGCCAACTCCCAGTTGACGCCACTCACTTTGCGATGGCGCCCACGTCGTTACCACCGCACGGTCGTGAGAAGTCCGCCCGCTGCGTTGCTGTGCGTGCGCAGTGCAAGAAGAGCTGCTGAAGCGGCTGACCGGGCAGAACGTGAACAAGCGAAACTTCATGATCCCGCGCAGCAAGGGCACCGCCGTGGTGCTGAGCTTCGACTCGTCGCCAGACGACGTCAAGTCGTGGCTCGTGGCCAAGGGATTCAACAACCTGTGAGTCGCGATTTCAAGCTTTCGTGACTGCAGGGATTCATCTTCTTGGTTCTTTCGGTAAAGTCACGTAGAAGGGAAATAATAAAGTAATAAAAATAAAACATAATAAAATACAATTCTCACGACGTTTCGGCCACGACGCAAGCGGCCGTCCTCAGGTGAAGAACAGGTCTGTCGGAAAGACAGCGTCTGAATGACGCTGTCTTTCCGACAGCGGCGGCGGCGGTGGCGGTGGTGGTGGCGGCTCGACTGCGGTTGCGATATCGGCCGGGGCGGCTGGGCTTGACGAGATCGTCGCTCTAATAAATGAAGTAGAATAGTCGACTTGTCAATGCAGCCGCAGCCGTCCGCACGGGCAGCCAGTCGCTCTCGGAGCGAGGGAGGAGATGGCTCAGAGAGAGAGGGAGGCGCGAAAGAAGTTCAGCACATACACACAACAACAACAACCGCCATTCGCCACTAAGTGGCGGTGACGTCACCATGACGCTTGTGCCAGGCCATGTGCACCTTGAGGCCAGGTGAAGTGTCGAACGCCCGCTGGCAGGAGGTCACGGGGCAGACCCAGCAGGTGCCACGGGTCGACTGACCGAGATGACCAAGATGACTGCACACACTCGCACATACACACACAAACACGCGCACACTTGCGTGTGTTCGGGGTCTCATAGGCAGTTTGTTTGTGTTGAGCCACAAGCTGCTGAAATGTGTGTACGAGCACAATGTCGCGCAGCTGATGGGATGTGTAGAGATAATCTATGTTTGGAGGGAAGGAGCCATATTCCAGCTCCTTCGTCTTGTGTTGCTTGCGTACTCATGTACCCTCTCTCTCTCGTGTACTCTCTCGTGTACTCTCTCTCTCTCGTGTACCCTCTCGTGTACCCTCTCTCTCGTGTACCCTCTCTCTCTCGTGTACTCTCTCTCGTGTACTCTCTCTCGTGTACCCTCTCTCTCGTGTACTCTCCCTCTCTCGTGTACCCTCTCTCTCTCTCGTGTACTCTCCCTCTCTCGTGTACCCTCTCTCGTGTACCCTCTATCTCTCTCGTGTACCCTCTCTCGTGTACCCTCTATCTCTCTCGTGTATCCTCTATCTCTCTCGTGTACCCTCTCTCTCTCGTGTACCCTCTCTCTCTCGTGTACTCTCTCGTGTACCCTCTCTCTCGTGTACCCTCTCTCTCTCGTGTACTCTCTCTCGTGTACCCTCTATCTCTCTCGTGTACCCTCTCTCGTGTACTCCCTCTCTCTCGTGTACTCTCCCGCGTACTCTCCCGCGTACTCGCCGCACGGCGCTGTAACGTGGCTGTGGCGGTGACGGTGTTGTTGTTGTTCAGGACCGTGGACAGCCTGGGGGTTCTGACCGGGGCTCAGATCTTCTCCCTCAACAAGGAGGAGCTGAAGGCCGTTTGTCCGGACGAGGGGGCCAGGGTCTACAGCCAGATCACTGTGCAGAAGAGTGCCCTCGAGGTACGCACGCACACACACAGATAAAGATCCCCCCCCACCCACCCCCGTGTAGCCTTCACAGGCTGTCGGGGCAAGTGCTGTTCACGAGCCGCAGCAGTGATGAAAGCTACCGGCACTGTGGCACGCGAGGGGGGGGGGGGGGGGTGGCCAGCAACCACGCCCAGACACCTTTGTCTCCCCAGTGGCGATGCTCGCTACACACTGCGCCGGGTACTCATTTGAGGCTGAGTCGACCTAGGGGTGGCGGTAGTGTGTAGCTAACCGCTACAAAGACAAAGACCCCCCGTATAGCCTTAACAGTCTATTGGGGCAAGTGCTGTTAGCGAGCACCTACGAAGGCCGGCATGGCAGACGAGGGGGTTGGTGGCCAGCACCACGCACGGCCGCCTTTGTCTCCCCCAGTGGCGATGTTTACACACCACACCAGGTACTTATTTGAGGCCGAGTCGACCTAGGGGAAGCCCAGGACCGGTTCAAATAATCGTCACCGGTGTTGGCCGTGAGCGGGAATTGAACTCGGGTCGCCGGGTTTATAGCGCAGCGCAGCGCTAACCGCTACACCGCCGCTCCCCACATAGACACACACACACACAGACACTCAGAGACACACACACAGGCACACACACACCTAGAAACACACAGGCACACAAACACACAGGCACACACACACACGAGCCTCTGAGAAAGCTTCACCCCACCCCCGTTGCTTTGTACCATCGGTGACGATTGCTGCGATTCCGCCCGTTCAGCCCGGGGGTGGCCTCGCAAAGTCTCGACGACTCCCCTTGACGACCACGCCTGACGCTGTGCCCCCCACTGCCCCCACTGCCCCCCACTGCCCCCCACCCCTCAGAGCGCGCGTGGAACATCGGAGCTGGAGGAGATCATGAAGAAACGGAAAGAGAAGATCAGCTCGGTCGACAAGAACGGCAGCGAAAACGTCACAGCCTAGCCCCCCGCTCCCCTCGCTCGCCAAAGGCCCATCAACACCCCCACCCCTGCCCCCCACAGCCCCCCACTTACTGCCACTTTCACAGCTGTTGCCCAGCTTATTCTAACGTTCGACACATCCGGCGATTATATTCCCGTCGTCCCAGAGCGAGAGAGGGGGTGACGCTAGTTTAGGGTCACGGTCAACCATCGCCTCCGTAGCGCTGCAACAGCGCTGGGGGGAGGGGGGCGGGGGGTTCTTTTTGCGAGCCGGTGGGCGTCAGCGACTCCTCGCCCAACTCCGTGCGGTCACGGAGCGGTCTGGCGCCGGGCGTTTACTCTGCATTAGCTGAGCTGGGTTTACTCTGCATTGCCCTCAAGGTGGTAGACGCTTGGCCGCTAAATGTACGTCCACGTTGAACTTCTTCCGCATAACAACAACCACTCCTGAAGTAATTAGATTTCAACCGAGATGATTTTAAAAGTGCATAGCTGCTCCAGCGGCATAGTTCCGAATGTGGTTCGTGAGGATTGCTGTGCGGAGGTTAACTCGCCCAATGGGCGGGTTAACTCGGTCGCCGCCGGCGCGCCGTTAACCGGGACGCTCGCCGTGCGATTAGTGTGGCCGTGCCGGGTGGCGGAGGGGTTCTTGACGCCACGTGTTGTTGTCAGATCGTTACCCTGGAGGCCCGAACCCATCTCACCCCACTGCAATATCTATTATCAAAATGTATCTGCGTAAAAGAATAACCAGACCAAACCTAAAATAACACGACCGCCACCGGTACGGCATTGTAATTGGTTTGTCCCTGCATCGTGGCGATTCTTACGGTGAGGATGGCCGCGATGGTCGGAGACTCAAACGCGCAGCGCGCTAACCGCTACAACTACCGCTCCCCACAAAGACGCGCACAGACACGCACAGACACGCACAGACACGCACAGACACGCACAGACACGCACAGACACGCACAGACAAACACGTGGACACACACTGCAGCCCGCGTGGCGAGCTGCGCGTTGTACAAGTTGCGCCGTGCGTCGAACTTCTCTGGCGTACCGTGCGCGGCGAGGGCGGCGTGCTCGGCGGAGGTGCGGGCGGTGGGGGGGAATGAAGACAAACTGAACGCGACACAAAGCAGAGTGGGGGGAAAAATCCGTGACCAAACGACGCAGACCCAAGCCGCACCGCAACGTAGTTTAACGAGGTGGCGGTGATGAGAGAGAGGGGGCATTACGAGCGCGTACCACGGAGTGCGCACATTTCAGAATCAACGTGCGTTCATATATAGAGTATTTGGCTGCTATACATTTCCACGTGGTGATGATGATGATGAGCCACTTCAGGGAGAGAGAGAAAGCACTCGTACTCCAAGTATTCAGCAACAGGCATCGTCAGGGTCGTGATCGAACCCACGACCTCCTGCAGACCAGGCGAGGGAGTTAACATCTCCTGGCTACCATCTAGCCGGGCCCGTGGCTTAGGCCTGTCCCCTGTAACGTCAGGACTGATGGGAGATAGAAGCAGCAGCAGCATTAGCGCACCTCCGGTTAGCGCGGTTGGCTACGTACGGTGTGAAAGAAGTTTGTGCGTGCGCGGACTGCACGGTCAGTGTCCTGTGACGATGAAGTTCATCGCAGCGACCGAGGTGTCCCAACTCGGTTCCTGCTGCCGCCCGGCGCACACACAGATGCCACTTCCTTGACTGTCTAAATTGAACTTTACTCGAAAAATCTTTTTTTTACATCTTACCAGGTAAAGGTCCCAGTGAGCTACGTAGCACTCTTTTTTTTAGAAGCTACCTGGCGAGCACAAATGATAGCTCAGCCAAGTGGCTCATCATCATCATCATCGTTCTGTGGAATTTTATAGCAGCAACTGCAACTGCAACACTCCAAATATGTGACGTCGATTCTGAATGTAGAGGGGAAAACCGGAGGACCCGGAGAAAAATCCACGCGACCACTGGGAGAAGAAGAGAGAGACACGAAGACTCCAAATATACAACAGCAGCAGGCGTCAGGGTGGAGATCGAACCCACGACCTCCTGCATACCAGGCGAGGTAGTTAACATCTAAAAGGCCACCGTGGAACTCGGGGCAGATGGCCACCCCTCGTTCCACACCTGTGGTGCTGCTGGTGATGTCTGTGGTGGTGCACAAGGCCGCTGTAAACTGCCGCCACGGGAGGAGAGTCCAGTTCCACAGATCTCCCTCGACCCGCACGATCGCCGGAAAAAAATCTTATTCAGGGATGGTGGTACATCCACGGGTCCAGGAAGGGTTTGGGATCCCACTGCTTTAGAGATTTGCATAGTCTAGAGACACAATTGTATGCGCGCGCGTGTCTGTGTGTGTGTATACTGGAGGAGCGGTGGTGCAGCGGTTAGCGCTACGCTGCACTACGAACCCGGCGGCCCGAGTTAGATTCCCGCTCACGGCCAACAACTTGGGGAAGACTATCTGAACCTGTTCCGGGCCTCCCCTAGATCGACTCAGCCTCCGAGTGCCTGGTGCGGTGTGTAGTAAACATCGCCACTGGGGGAGACAAAGGCGGCCGGGCGTGGTGCTGGCCACCCACCCCCTCGTGTGCCGTGCCGGCCTTCATAGGTGCTGCTCACTAACAGCACTTGCCCCAACAGTCCGTTAAGGCTATACGGGGGTAGGGGGGGGCAGGAATCTTTGTCTCTACTTTTATATATTTACTGTATATAATAATTTGGGAGGTGAGTTTACCCATTGTCGCAGCGATTGGGGCTTAAGATCATTTCCGTAATTCTAATAAGCGTTCGTGGGAGTCAGCACTCCGCACGGATAATCGTTTGCATTTTCGCGACGGATATATACATACATATACACATATACATACATATACACACATACAAACATATACATATATACATAGGCAACTCGATTGACAAATGACCGCTTTTCTTTCCGTATATTAACCAAAAAATGTTTTAAGTATTTTTTTCACACATTCCATCAGCCGCGTCTGTTCTTCCAGAGAAGTGGCTCGTTTCGACAGCATCGGCTATGACTCGGTCAATCTCTGGAGCGGTTTCGGCATGCACAGTCTCATCAGCAGCAGCAGCAATAGCGTCAGGCTCGCATAAAACCCATGCCAGCGAACTGCCCAGACGTTGTTAGCGAGGGATCGCACATCCCCTGTAAGATACAATGCCGAGTTCGACGATAAAAACCAGACAGTATGTAACGCAATAATCAGTCGTGTCCGTTGTAGAGAATATTAATAAATCGGCAGACGATTTGCCTCTTGTTCCCATTCCCTGTGGACGGGGAGGTGTGTCACCTGCCCTGCTATTGTCTGCCGTGAGGGGCCGCCTACGATGCATCCACACACACACGCACACCTAAAAGACGCAATTAGGCGTGAGACTCGTATAGTTCAAGCATTGACTGTGGATGCGCTGAGATTAAAGGTTTATGTCGAGGCCTGCGCGTCTGCCAGTGTTGTTAGCCGCCTCCACTCGGCAGCAAGCCCTGGAGACGCCGGCTACGACACACACACTCACGTGTTTTTAAGACGTTAAGCTATTTTACGTGAACACGATTCCACGATAAGCAACACACGTGATGTGACTCCCTGTATATAATAATAATGATGATGATGATTATCGAGGTAGACACGTATCTACCTTGATGATGATGATTATCGAGGTAGACACGTGTCGCGTGGCTGGTCACAAGTGTCGTGGACGAGCAATAATAAAACGCACGGATGCACGTTCACAGCGTCACGCCGCCATGTGCCGATGCCTTCTTTATCCCCCTCCCCCAACTCCGATTAGCACGGTTCGGCTACGTACGGTGCGAAGGAAGTTCAACATACAACAACCCGCTAACCCCTTATCAGTGTCCCCCTACCCGATTAAACCAAGTCAGACCGTATTGGTCACCCCGTGCGCCCTTGTACATCTCAACGTTCATCCCACAAAGTCCCATCACAAGGTAGAAACACAATTTGTGTTGCCCGCATTGAAACGGCTGTACGCCGAATGGGCCTGAAAAAATCTCAATTTCCCTGCACTAGAATACGGGGTAAACCGTGTGGGTTGACAGCTGTGCATACATGATGATGATAGTGGTGGTGGTGTTGAGGCACCTGCATGGTGAGGACGTGGGGGATGGTGGTGATGTTGATGTCAATGATCACGGTTGACATTTGTAAGCCGCGTGCCACCCATGGATCCCAATGTCGCCCAGCAGGGGAATGAGACGGAGCCAGCGGTGGCAAGTGGCCAAGACTCGGGGGGGGGGGGGGGGGGTGTAACGGAGCGTCCTTTCGGGACGCGCTTTAGCCGGTTTAGGTTGATACCCACAACCCTCCTGAGCACCACCCGCTATCTACGTTGTGGTGGGGCCCCGAATGGCCGTGTGCAGAATGTAACCAAAACCACTGCCGGCATATTCCAAATGTTTCGGGTCTACTTAGAGGTCAATCCTCTACACAAACATTACATTGTCAAAGGGCAACAGGCGTACGACTTCCCCGGAGAAGTGCACGGATCACAAGCCACTATAGCAACCCACAATGATCATCGCAACAACACACCAACCACCAACACCGTTACACAACAACCAACACCGTCACACAACCACCAACACCGTCACACCACGAACGCTGGTGGAGGAAACAGAAACCTCAGTGGATCAGTCCCCTTTCTCATCGAGCCGGATCAGTAGCGGATTAAAATCCCACTCGCCTCAGTCTCCATCTCTAGCACAGCAGCCGCCCTGAACAAGCCGAGGAGTGGCTCACAGAGACCCATAGACTCACACAGAGACCCATAGACTCACACAGAGACCCATAGACTCACACAGAGACCCATAGACTCACACAGAGACCCATAGACTCACACAGAGACCCATCGACTCACACAGAGACCCATAGACTCACACAGAGACCCATAGACTCACAGAGACCCATAGACTCACGAAGACACCCATCGACTCTCACAGAGACCCATCGACTCACACAGAGACCCATAGACTCACACAGACACCCACAGACTCACAGAGACCCATCGACTCACAGAGACCCATAGACTCACAGAGACCCATCGACTCACGAAGACACCCATCGACTCTCACAGAGACCCATCGACTCACACAGAGACCCATAGACTCACACAGACACCCACAGACTCACAGAGACCCATCGACTCACAGAGACCCATCGACTCACACAGAGACCCATAGACTCACGAAGACACCCATCGACTCACACAGAGACCCATAGACTCACAGAGACCCATCGACTCACGAAGACACCCATCGACTCTCACAGAGACCCATCGACTCACACAGAGACCCATAGACTCACACAGACACCCACAGACTCACAGAGACCCATCGACTCACAGAGACCCATCGACTCACACAGAGACCCATAGACTCACGAAGACACCCATCGACTCACACAGAGACCCATAGACTCACAGAGACCCATCGACTCACGAAGACACCCATCGACTCTCACAGAGACCCATCGACTCACACAGAGACCCATAGACTCACACAGACACCCACAGACTCACAGAGACCCATCGACTCACAGAGACCCATCGACTCACACAGAGACCCATAGACTCACGAAGACACCCATCGACTCACACAGAGACCCATAGACTCACAGAGACCCATCGACTCACGAAGACACCCATAGACTCACAGAGAGACCCATAGACTCACACAGAGACCCACAGACTCACAGAGACCCATCGACTCACGAAGACACCCATCGACTCACACAGAGACCCATAGACTCACACAGAGACCCACAGACTCACAGAGACCCATCGACTCACAGAGACACCCATAGAGGTAAAGTTAGTTAACAGCAGAGGGCGCTGTACCACCACTTGTCCCGTATGTGTCCCATATCGCATCGCACACCTCCTGTGGAACCACCAGCACCACCAACCACCACCACCAACCACCATGAACCACCACCATCAACCACCACCACCAACCACCACCATCAACCACCATCAACCACCACCACCCACCACCACCACGAACCACCATCAACCACCACGACCAAGCACCACCAATGAATGAAAGACGCAGCCAGGGCAGTGCGGCTGTGGCCATGCAACTCACAGAGACTCATAGAGATACACAGAGACTCATAGAGATACACAGAGACTCATAGAGATACACACAGAGATACACAGAGACCCACTGAGACACCACTATACATAGAGATACATAGACACGACACAAACTCTCTCTCTGTCTCTCTTTGTTTTACGATCAGAGGAAACGAGAAGATGCTCGGTGTAGTCGGCACTTTGCTTCGTTTATCATTTAGTTTTTTTTATGCTTTGCTTTATGTACCCCCCCCCTTTTTTTAAATGAAAGATTTCACAAAAGATGTATCGCTCTGCTCTCCTTACCCCTCCAATCTCTCTCTCTACCCCCCTCTCTGCCCCCCCCCCCTCTCTCTACCCCCTCTCTCCCTACTCCATGTCGCTCTCTCTCTCTCGTTCTCTTTTTTTTTAACTACGACAAGAGCTGCATCTGCACGCAGCCCTTCTCGCGGTCCGACGGCCTCGTACCCGTACCCGGCCGGGTACGGGTACGGGTAGCCGTTTGCGACCCTGGTGCAGCCGGGTACGGGTAGACCGTGAGTCACCGTTTGTCACTCATTTCGGGTAGGGTACGGGTAGGGAACGGGTACCCGTACCCGACTGGGTACGGGTACCCGTTTGCGACCCTGGTGCGGCCGGGTACGGGTACGGGTAGGCCGTGAGTCGCCGTTTGTCACTCATTTCGGGTAGGGTACGGGTAGCCGTTTGCGACCCTGGTGCGGCCGGGTACGGGTACGGGTAGGCCGTGAGTCACTGGTGAGTAACCGTTTGTCACTCATTTCGGGTAGGGTACGGCTACCCGTACGGGTATCCATTTGCGACCCTGGTGCGGCCGGGTACGGGTAAGGAATCAAAACCCGTTTGCGACCTCTGGTGGCAGCTATCCCACACGCCCCGCTGCTGCTGCGGCGGCGAGGCGCGGATTCTGTTTATAGGATCGCGCCGCCGATGCCCCACGTGGTCTCTGGAAATCCCCTTTTGTCGCTATCGGAAAATCCGAGGCAGCTTCATTGAGGGTGTCGGAAACACACAACAGTAATAATTATTAATTAATGAGATAATGCAGTGCACGTTTTTAAGAAACAAAACATGGGTGGGTGAGTGCACTGGGGAGTTGGTGAGGACGTTTTTTTCGTTGTGGGAGAGTGCGTCAGTGAGCGAACGTGTGAGAGAGAGAGGGTGAGTGTCGCTATGATTGGGGTGAATAAAAGTTGGGTGAGTGGGGGGTGAGTCAGTGGAGTGAGTGGTGTCCTCAAGTGACTGAGGGTTGGTGAGTTGAGGGTTATGAGGGCAGGAGGTGAGTGTCGGAGTGGGTGAGTGACTCTGTGAGTGAGTCTTAGCGTGGGTGAGTAGGTCGGTGAGTGGGTGAGTGGGTGACTTTATTGGAGTGATGTGGTGGAGGATGTGGAGCTGAGTGGACTTGCCAATGACTGGTACCAGCGGTGTCAAGATCGGCCTCAGTGGAGGAGGCTCGTGAAGGACGCTGCTGCTGGGCAGTGCCAGGCTAGGTGCACCCTGAGGCTACTGGGCAGTTGGAGGCAGTTGCCCTCCAACAACAACGGAGGGCGGAGCGACGCTCACAACAACGAGCGGAGCGCAGGGTGGCTAAAACACAGAAAGTTGGCACAATAGGGGTCACAGGTGGTGCATCGGCCACTCGTCTTAATCAGTCGACCCGTGGCACCTGGGTCACCCCCGTGACCTACCAGCGGGCGTTCGAAACTTCACGTGGCCTCAACGTGCACCTAGCCTGGCACAAGCGCCGTGGTGACGTCACCGCAACTTTGTGACGAATGGCGGTTGTTTTCATTGGTGAGCGGTGGCGCAACGGTTAGCGCAATGCACTACGAACCCAGCAATGCGAGTTTGATTCCAGCTCACGGCCAACATCAGGTGACGAACATCCTGAACCGGTAATGGGCCTCTCCTAGGCCGACTCAGCCTCAAATGAAAAAAAACTACCTGGTGTGGTGTGTAGTAAACATCGCCACTGGGGAGACAAAGGCGGCCGGGCGTGGTGCTGGCCACCCACCCACTCGTGTGTCACAGTGCCTGCCTTCGTAGGTGCTGCTACTCGCTAACAGCACTTGCCCCTACAGTCTGTTGAGGCTACACAGGGGATCTTTGTGTTTGTGTGGTATTGCGATAAACGCTCTGAGAAGCGTGGAATCTGATGGAGGGGCCACGTGGTCTCTGGAAAGCCCCTTTTGTCGACGGGAGGCAAATTAGAAATTTGCGGCAGCTCCAAAACTCGGGGTGAGTTAGCAGAGGGAAATCTGCGGCAGCTCCAAAACTCGGGGTCAATGTTAGCAGAGGGAAATCTGTGGCAACTCCAAAACTCGGGGTCAATGTTAGCAGAGGGAAATCTGCGGCAGCTCCAAAACTCGGGGTCAATGTTAGCAGAGGGAAATCTGCGGCAGCTCCAAAACTCGGGGTCAATGATAGCAGAGGGAAATCTGCGGCAGCTCCAAAACTCGGGGTCAATGTTAGCAGAGGGAAATCTGCGGCAGCTCCAAAACTCGGGGTCAATGTTAGCAGAGGGAAATCTGTGGCAACTCCAAAACCCGGGGTCAATGTTATTAGGGAAATATGCGGCAACTCCAAAACCCGGGGTCAATGTTATCAGAGAGAAATCTA